TCTAGTATATAGTCTAGTCTATAGTCTAGTCTAGTATATAGTCTAGTCTATAGTCTAGTCTAGTATATAGTCTAGTCTATAGTCTAGTCTATAGTCTAGTCTAGTCTAGTCTATAGTCTAGTCTATAGTCTAGTCTATAGTCTAGTCTATAGTCTAGTCTATAGTCTAGTCTATAGTCTAGTCTATAGTCTAGTCTATAGTCTAGTCTATAGTCTAGTCTATAGTCTAGTCTATAGTCTAGTCTATAGTCTAGTCTATAGTCTAGTCTATAGTCTAGTCTATAGTCTAGTCTATAGTCTAGTCTATAGTCTAGTCTATAGTCTAGTCTTTAGTCTAGTCTATTGTCTAGTCTTATCTATAGTCACCGATAGATCACGGTTTAACATACTATTTCCAAAACCAAACTCGTCTGAAGAACGTTACTTAATTCAATTCATTCCAGCGATTTTAATTATTAAGTTGGCATCATTCTTTTTATTTTTGTTTTGCTTAGGTTTTTTCTCAGAATGAGAATGACTTAAGTAAAACTAGTTGATGTTTTTGTTAACTAAATTCAAATTAATAAACAAAAAGTTTCAAGTAATCTTGATTTTAAAATAACTATGAAACTTACGGTGTTTTTTATTTGTTACATAGTAGGGTATTAAAACTTCCACCTAACCCTAGAAATATAGTTTCTTTCTCCCTGGTTTTTATTGTTTTATTACTTGTTGTAACTTGACCATAATCATTATCATCATTATGATTAAAATATGCAAAAGCAAATTAAACTTTTTTTATATAAATTTTACACATTTTACACCCATTTTTTTTTTCTTTTGTTCTACTCACCTTACGTTTGCGTACATCTGTCTTCGTCATGTTTTTTATTTAAATTATTTAATTTTTTTAATATATCTTTAGATTACAATTTAATGACTATTACTCAGCAAAATATTTTGAATTTTTTATGCAAATAAATTACGCTTTTTATTTTAAACATGCGAGTTTAATTAACAATTTATTTTCTTAAAGTTTTTCACTAAATACCAAAAAAATTGCGGCTTTTTATTATAAATTAAAATAATGAACGGAAAAATCTACTACGTCAGCGTTTAAACATTTGTATTCTTTTTAGTAATTTCTCATCACACACTTTACAAAGCCGCTAGAGCTAAACACAGCAAAATAGAATTTTATTAAAAAAAAACCTAACCAAAACAACAACCTCAACTAGGGAAAACTAGAGGGAAACTAAACAACAAGTTGAAACGAAAAATGAACATTTCATTTCTTTTGTATCTGTAGAATGTAAAGAAAATTTTGGTAGCTTAAAAGGGGTTAATACATGTATATTAAGAAAGAGATAAGATAGGTAAGAGAAAAAAACAAACTGTTTTTTCGATGGAGTTGCCAGATATAATGATTTAACTTGTAATTTTACAGATTTTTAAGATCAAGCACAATGGAAAGGAATTGTTATGCATTTTTAATCTAATTAAAAATAAAATACCTAGAAAAAGTTATTTCTTTTGAAAAATTTCTTTATAAACAAATTTTCTATTGAAAAAGATTTTTCTATTTTAAGATTTTTTGTATACACATTTTATTACAGAAGAAATCCATCATAACTTTATCCTATATAAAAATATCGGAATAACACTTAAATACAGACAAGTTTATTACAACACATTATTCTATAGAAAAATTCAAGTACAACACATGTTTTGACTAGGGTTCTATAAATCGACTTTCGAATAATCGAACAATCGACTTTTTGTCGAAAAAAGTCGAAGGCGACTATTTTGTTCCAAAAAAGTCGATAACTCGACTATCGTCTATGAAAAAAGTCGAAAAGTCGACTTTGTAAATAAAAGTCGAAAAGTCAAAAAATCGGAAAGTCGAAAAAAGTCGAAAAAAGTTGAAAAGTCGAAAAAAGTCGATAAGTTGAAAAAAGTCGAAGAAAGTCGAAGAAAGTCGAAAAAAGTCGGAAAAAGTCGAAAAGTCGGAAAAAGTCGAAAAAAGTCGAAAAGAGTCGAAAATTTTAAAAAAGTGGAAAAGAGGTCAAAAACTCTAAAATAGTCGGAAAAACTCGAAAAAAATTGAAAAGTCGAAAAAAGTCGATAAGTTGAAAAAAGTCGAAGAAAGTCGAAAAAAGTCGAAAAGTCGAAAAAAGTCGATAAGTTGAAAAAAGTCGAAGAAAGTCGAAAAAAGTCGAAAAGTCGAAAAAAGTCGGAAAAAGTCGAAAAGTCGAAAAAAGTCGAAAAGAGTCGAAAATTTTAAAAAAGTGGAAAAGAGGTCGAAAACTCTAAAATAGTCGGAAAAACTCGAAAAAAGTAGTAGTAATAGTCGAAAAAAAGTCGAAATAAATCAAAAATAGTCAAAAAGTCGTAAAAAATCAAAAAGTCGGAAAAAGTCGGAAAAAGTCGAAAAAAGTCGAAAAGTCGAAAAAAGTCGGAAAAAGTCGAAAAGTCGGAAAGTCGACCTTTAACTAAATGCAAAAAGTCGACTTTTCGTTTCAACTATAGAACCCTAGTTTTGACCTAACCCTAGATATACATTTTCTTCTCCCTGGTGGTAAAAAAAAAGTTTTATATAAAACATTTCTATAGAAAATTTATTGTATAACAAATTTTTCTATAGAAAAAAATTTTTTATAGAAACTTTTAAAATTTACATTCCCATTGTGCTGCTTATGATGAAAAAGTAGTAGAAAAATACAACCATGTCAAATTAAGGACAGTGATGCCCATAAGCTAAACTTTGGCGTTTATTATTACATTTTAAAATTAGTTAACTCTGACCGTTAAATGTATTTTCATTTCAAAATAAAACCCTGAACAAAATCTAAACAAAGATTTGTTTTACTAACACAATTTTAAAATTAAAAATACAAATATTTCCACTTAATGCAATATATTAGCACGTATTAATTATATATACTATAAAAATTTAAGTGCATGGACCAATAAATAAATGGACTTTAAACCATAATATAAAGCCATTTACTACAGCAACAAATACTGAGTGACAATCTAACAATTAAAACCACATGCACACAATTAAGTGTATTGTATCGTCCCGTTGATTACGTTTAGTAGGTTTAATTGTATTTATACGAGTACAAGATTTCATTCACTTCCATCAGTCAGCCTTACTCTGATTTCTAAATGAAGACTTTCATTTATTGTTATTGTTGTTGTTTATTTAATCATATATACAACCCGTATGTTTGTTAGTTTGTAGAAATGATAACAAAAAAGTCACGCCACTTTTTTCTTTATGCATTCGTAGGAAATTGAATTTTTTACTTTATTTCGCTAGAGAGCAAAAAGTCGTCGATTCAAGTTACTACGCGCGCCACTTAGTACAAAACAAAAACATAACACACTAGGCGATAGATACTAGCGGTAACATAGCGGTGGTGCTGCTGGCGTTTAAATATGTTTTGGGGCTAATAGTAAAGGGTTTGGCAAAAAATTATATAAAAATATGAATGAAATTATATAGAACGGAGTAACGTTCAAGGGCCACTGAAATATAACTATTTTAAGTATATATTAGACTTTGATGTGAACTCTCATAGCCTATGTGTAAAAATTTTTGATTTATTTATATTTGGAAAATTTTATTGTGTTTACGTGTTTTATAGGGGGGAATTTGTTTGAGATTTGTGTTTACGGTTTTTTTATCTTAAACATTTGGCATCACTGTGTGATAAACTGGTTGTCATTAGGGTTCTATAAATCGACTTTCGAATAATCGAACAATCGACTTTTTGTCGAAAAATGTCGAAAAGTCGAAGTCGACTATTTTGTTCCAAAAAAGTCTATAACTCGACTATCGTCTATAAAAAAAGTCGAAAAGTCGACTATTTTGTTCCAAAAAAGTCTATAACTCGACTATCGTCTATAAAAAAAGTCGAAAAGTCGACTTTGTAAATAAAAGTCGAAAAGTCAAAAAATCGGAAAGTCGAAAAAAGTTGAAAAGTCGAAAAAAGTCGATAAGTCGAAAAAAGTCGAAAAATCGAAAAAAGTCGAAAAGTCGGAAAAAGTCGAAAAGTCGGAAAAAGTCGAAAAAAGTCGAAAAGAGTCGAAAATTTTAAAAAGGTGGAAAAGAGGTCAAAAACTCTAAAATAGCCGGAAAAACTCGAAAAAAGTAAAAAAATAGTCGAAATAAATCGAAAATAGTCCAAAAGTCGTAAAAAATCAAAAAGTCGAAAAGTCGGAAAAAGTCGAAAAGTCGACCATTTATAAAATACTAAAAGTCTAAAAGTCGACTTTTAAATAAATGAAAAAGGTCGAAAAGTCGAAAAATCGACTTTTCATAAAATGGAAAAAGTCGAAAGGTCGAAAAGTCGACTTTTAACTAAATGCAAAAAGTCGAAAAGTCGACTTTTCGTTTCAACTATAGAACCCTAGTTGTCATAAGAAGAGAGAAACAAGATAGAACAAAAAAAAAAAAAAAAAAGAACAGCAACAACTCTGGATAAAGAAATCATACAGTGATGACGAAAATGTACATTAATAATTAAAATTTTTGTATAACCATTTTTTTATTTAAAATTTGTACATGAACATTTTCTCTAAAAAAAAGTTGTGTAGAAGACTTTGTTTTTTTTTTTTTATAGAACAATTTTTCAATAGAAACATTTTTGTATGGCAATTTTTCAACAACACTTATCTATATAAAATTTTTGTATAATACTTTTTTTTTAAGTTTTTTTCTATTTTATAGAAATTTGTGTTTATCTGTTTTACATGTTTTTTTTCATATAACATTATTTATAACAGTTTTTTCTGTAGAGAAATTTGTTTCAACAAAATTTTCCCTATTAAACCGCACTATTTTCTTAAATTTTTGTACTCGTTTTAAAAAAAAGAAAAAGTATTTTTAAACAAAATATAAATTACATTCCCAGCCCTGTCACTTAGTGTATTTAGCAAAATACGTCAAGAAAAACAGAAGAGAGAGGAAAAGACAGAGAGACAAAAAAGTTCTATTGGAAACAGTGGCGCGCTGAGACACAACAACTAAATAAAACTATTGTTATTAATCATTTATTAAAACAAATTTCACGAAACGCTTGAAGCGAGCGCACGCGTTTTTCTCTTGATATTTTAAACAAGAAAAAATATAGACAAATTATATTTTTTATAACAAAAAAGAAAAATCCATAAAGTAAGCAATCAGTTTTCAGTCAGTGAAACGTTCATTTACTGTCACAATTAAAAGAAACAAAAAACCAAAAGACGTGTTGTGTGTGTTCGTGAAATAAATTGTGATTTTTTTTATTGCATTTTATTTTGTTACGTACCAAAAATTTCTAATATTTGTTATTAAAAACAGAAAATTTTTTATTGTGGAAATTTTCATATAGAAGTGATTTGTTGTTGTAAGCAAAAAAAGAAAGAAAAAATTCCATAAATATGAGTGATAAATTAGTGAATAACGGTGGAACCGCCGGTGAGGAAACCACATCTAAACGAGAAGTTCGTGTTTGGTGTGATGGATGGTGAGTCATTGTTTTTTTATTTAATTACATTTTTTCTGATTTTTTAAAATGTCATCATTTTTTATTAAAATTTCAAAATAAAATTCTAGTATTTTGTTTTTTTTTGAGGTATAAAAATTTGGTATTGTATTTGTTGTATTAGTCATTATTTTCTCTTTTGTAATGAGTTTTCTCTCTTAAATGCACTTAAACGCCCTTTTTTCGTTTATTTTTTGATATTTTTGTTCTTTAATATTTTTTCTAGACTGGGAATTTCCTTTGTGCCCTTTTCTTGTTGTTTTTTCTTTTTACTGTCAGGTGTTACATCACACCATGTTTGTTTATTATTGTTCTTGTTTTTTTGTTGTTAGAGGATTAATAACTGTGAACAGTGGGTTTAGTTTTGTTTATTTTGATAGTATTTTCTTTAGGAAAAAGTTTATTTACATTTTCCCAATTAAATATTAGTTGACTTTTGGTTTAAAAATAAACAAGTAAGAAATTATAGTCGGGCGTGGCCGACCATATGATACCCTACACCAGTTATGAATATTAAATGTGATTTATTTTTCATAATAAAGCATTTATCTTCTTCTTCTCTTGATACCCTACACCAGTTATGAATATTAAATGTGATTTATTTTTCATAATAAAGCATTTATCTTCAATATTCCCTTGTTCCGATACATTTAAGCAATTTATGGATGAAAAACTAATGTTCTGAAAGAGGCTTTATATGGGGGCTAGGGGCAAATATGGACCAAGCCCGATAAAATTTTGTGAATATATTTATATTGACATAATATTTTATTGTGCTGAATTTCATCGCGATATTTGTGTTTACAAGCTAATTTGGGACATTCAAGTAATTTTCTGAAGGGGACTTTGTATGGGAGCTAGGGTCAAATGTGGCCCGATCTTTATGAAATTTGGCAGGGTCATCAAGACTTCTATAAAACTTAGTTGTGCCGTATTTTATCGATATATCTGTATATTTAACATAATTATGAGCTCAGAAGCCCTTTTCGGGGGGTTCTGTTCTATGGGGGCTAGGTGAAATAATGGACCGATCTTAACCATTTTCAATAGGCTTCGTCCTTAGGTCAAATAAAACGTGCGTGCCAAATTTCATCCAATTATCTTGAAAATTGCGACCTGTACGAATATTTTTGTATGTTACAAACATCAGCACAAATCCAATATACCCTCCCCACTAAAGTGGTGTAGGGTATAAAAATGAATCGTAATCTTGAGAAATATTTCAAAAGTGTAAGAAAAATATTTTTTAAAGTTTTTTTTTTTTTAATGAAGGTTTTGTTTTTTTTTTTTTAATTTTTGTTAAATATTTCGATTTATCTTTACTTAAAACCTATGTACATGTCTTTTTAACAAAATAATAAATATTTGACCCTAATAGCTTTGTAAAAAAATACACCACAATTACTAAATAACTTTAAATTCGTGTGGAAATTTACAATTTTTCAATATAATTCATTTAATTTTAAATATTTTGCTTAATGGACACGTTTGTAGCACATGTGTTTAAAACATTTTTATGTAAATTTTTGCGGGCATTGTAATTGTATATTCTTTTTATATGAATATTTATAAAGAAACTGAAAAAACTTTTAATGATTATTGATTAAGGCTGCAAAAAAAAAAATTGCACATACTGACAGTATTTTTGTGGTATTAAAAGATATTTATGTCAGTTAAGGTAGTTTTGAACTGGGATTGGAACGTGTAGAGAAAAATCAATGTCAAGGTTATGTTTGGTTAGTTATTTGTTTATATAAAATGTGTTAATTATTTTGTAATTAATAACAATTGTTTATTGTTTAGTTTGGAGTTAATGAGCATTCAAGACTATAGACTAGACTCTAGAACAAACACTTGACTAGATTATAAACTAAACTATAGACTAGACTATATACTAGACTATAACTAGACCAGACTAGAAAGACTAGACTATAGACTAGACTATAGACTATACTATAGACTATACTATAGACTAGACTATAGACTATACTATAGACTAGACTATAGACTATACTATAGACTAGACTATAGACTAGACTAAAGACTAGACTATAGACTAGACTATAGACTAGACTATAGACTAGACTATAGACTAGACTATAGACTAGACTATAGACTAGACTATAGACTAGACTATAGACTAGACTATAGACTAGACTATAGACTAGACTATATACTAGACTATAGACTAGACTATAGACTAGACTATAGACTAGACTATAGACTAGACTAGAGACTATAGACTATATAGACTAGACTATAGACTAGACTATAGACTAGACTATTAGACTAGACTATAGACTAGACTATAGACTAGACTATAGACTAGACTATAGACTAGACTATAGACTAGACTATAGACTAGACTATAGACTAGACTATAGACTAGACTATAGACTAGACTATAGACTAGACTATAGACTAGACTATAGACTAGACTATAGACTAGACTATAGACTAGACTATAGACTAGACTATAGACTAGACTATAGACTAGACTATAGACTAGACTATAGACTAGACTATAGACTAGACTATAGACTAGACTATAGACTAGACTATAGACTAGACTATAGACTAGACTATAGACTAGACTATAGACTAGACTATAGACTAGACTATAGACTAGACTATAGACTAGACTATAGACTAGATTATAGACTAGACTATAGACTAGACTATAGATAGACTATAGACTAGACTATAGACTAGACTATAGACTAGACTATAGACTAGACTATAGACTAGACTATAGACTAGACTATAGACTAGACTATAGACTAGACTATAGACTAGACTATAGACTATAGACTAGACTATAGACTAGTAGACTAGACTATAGACTAGACTATAGACTAGACTATAGACTAGACTATAGACTAGACTATAGACTAGACTATAGACTAGACTATAGACTAGACTATAGACTAGACTATAGACTAGACTATAGACTAGACTATAGACTAGACTATAGACTAGACTATAGACTAGACTAGACTATAGACTAGACTATAGACTAGACTATAGACTAGACTAGACTATAGACTAGACTATAGACTAGACTATAGACTAGACTATAGACTAGACTATAGACTAGACTATAGACTAGACTATAGACTAGACTATAGACTAGACTATAGACTAGACTATAGACTAGACTATAGAATAGACATAGACTAGACTATAGGCTAGACTATAGACTAGACTATAGACTAGACTATAGACTAGACTATAGACTAGACTATAGACTAGACTATAGACTAGACTATAGACTAGACTATAGACTAAGACTATAGACTAGACTATAGACTAGACTATAGACTAGACTATAGACTAGACTATAGACTAGACTATAGACTAGACTATAGACTAGACTAGACTATAGACTAGACTAGACTAGACTAGACTAGACTATAGACTAGACTATAGACTAGACTATAGACTAGACTATAGACTAGACTATAGACTAGACTAGACTATAGACTAGACTAGACTAGACTATAGACTAGACTAGACTATAGACTAGACTAGACTATAGACTAGACTATAGACTAGACTATAGACTAGACTATAGACTAGACTATAGACTAGACTATAGACTAGACTATAGACTAGACTATAGACTAGACTATAGACTAGACTATAGACTAGACTAGACTAGACTTTTGCCTTAACTAAAGACTAAACTATAGACTAAAATTGAGACTAAAATATAGAATATACTATAGATTAAACTATAAACAAAGCCATATGATAGACTATAGACTAGTTTGTATACTATAGACTAGGTTAGACTAGACTATAGAATAAACTATAGATTTGACTAAACTTAAGAGTCGATATGGACAAAATGACTAGACTATAGACTAGACTATAGACTAGACTATAGACTAGACTATAGACTAGACTATAGACTAGACTATAGACTAGACTATAGACTAGACTAGACTATAGACTAGACTATAGACTAGACTATAGACTAGACTATAGACTAGACTATAGACTAGACTATAGACTAGACTAGACTATAGACTAGACTAGACTATAGACTAGACTAGACTATAGACTAGACTATAGACTAGACTATAGACTAGACTATAGACTAGACTATAGACTAGACTAGACTATAGACTAGACTAGACTAGACTATAGACTAGACTAGACTATAGACTAGACTAGACTATAGACTAGACTAGACTAGACTATAGACTAGACTATAGACTAGACTATAGACTAGACTATAGACTAGACTATAGACTAGACTATAGACTAGACTATAGACTAGACTATAGACTAGACTATAGACTAGACTATAGACTAGACTATAGACTAGACTATAGACTAGACTATAGACTAGACTATAGACTAGACTATAGACTAGACTAGACTAGACTAGACTAGACTATAGACTAGACTATAGACTAGACTATAGACTAGACTATAGACTAGACTATAGACTAGACTATAGACTAGACTATAGACTAGACTATAGACTAGACTATAGACTACTATAGACTAGACTATAGACTAGACTATAGACTAGACTATAGACTAGACTATAGACTAGACTATAGACTAGACTATAGACTAGACTATAGACTAGACTATAGACTAGACTATAGACTAGACTATAGACTAGACTATAGACTAGACTATAGACTAGACTATAGACTAGACTATAGACTAGACTATAGACTAGACTATAGACTAGACTATAGACTAGACTATAGACTAGACTATAGACTAGACTATAGACTAGACTATAGACTAGACTATAGACTAGACTATAGACTAGACTATAGACTAGACTATAGACTAGACTATAGACTAGACTATAGACTAGACTATAGACTAGACTATAGACTAGACTATAGGCTAGACTATAGACTACACTATAGACTAGACTACAGGCTAGACTATAGACTAACTAAATGTAGACTAAATTACTTAGACTGAACTTTTGCCTTAACTAAAGACTAAAC